AGCCCCATCTTGTTGAAACCACTTTTCCACATTAAATCCATCAAACTGTTGCAGTAGTGGAACCAAAAATTTCTTAACTTGTCACAATACCGGTCACTGTTTACCGTAAATGTTCGCCCTCGATGCTCTTCAAGAAAAGAAGACCCAATGATGACTTCACCATACATGGCAGCTCACGCAATAACTTTTTGACCATGTAGTGGTTGTTCATGTTTATGTCTTCGATTATCTTTGGCCCAGTTGCGACAGTTCTTCACGTTTAGTTTGTTTACGTGACCATTTAAGTGGAAGTTCGCTTCGTCGCTAAACAGAATGTTTTCAAACGTTGGAAAGCGCTGAAGCATTTGATTTGCAAAATTCAATTGGAGAGGATAATCGGCAAAGTTCACTTTTCGAACTAACTGAATTTTGTAGGCTGTAAGATGTAAATCTTGCTTTAGAATCTTCTGTAACGACTATTTTTAATCTCAAGTTCTTAACTGCGTCTGCGAACTGATTGAGACGGATTTTGACGCACTGACACTCTCATTTCTTCAATCGTTTGTTGGGTTCGAACAGAGCGTGGGCGAACTGGATTGTGAATTTTTGCAGTCGAACCGGTATTCTCGAACATTCGAATTCATAGTAGAATGAAGATTCTGGCTATAGGGCCGTGGTCTAAGTGAACTATTCCGTCCAGACGTTTCGTCAGCTACTGCGGCTGACATCTTCAGTGGTGATGTTGCGTTGACAACGTGAACGTAGATTATATCTCGAAGTCTTGACAGCGACTGGGTCGCCCGAATCTTCATTCTACTAAGGATTCCGGCCGTAAAAGTCTTTGTTCTTATATTCGAATTCATTTTCTGATGGTATCGTCCTTCGGTGTATTCCGTACATTGAATTGATCGTTGAGCCATGATCATCGGATCACCATTGTTATAATAGGCGCGTACGCAACAATCACGATGGTCTCCCGGGTACACTTCCATGACCATTAAATCTCCAAAAAGTATTGAGACAACCTATCACTACCGCACGCCTCCGAACCGGCCCGATAAAAGGACAGGGCAGATACAAATATCCCCTGCTCTTTCTGGACACCTTGCATATATAAATTTATAAGTGTTATTAATATTATGAAAAACAATAAATATTAGCATCAATGAAAAAAATGAAATAGGCAAGTAAATACATAAAGAAAGGAAGAGGTTTATCTTTGAGTCCAAACATACACTCTCGTTGCTAAATGTAGTAACTTCTTTCAGGTTCACTGGATTTAATTTGCTTAACCTTTCGCTAGTCATACAGACAGCTTCCTCAAAAGGATCCGTCCCTTATAGAGAAATTTTAATATGGGGAATAATGAAAACTAGTATTATCAGTCAATATAGTCGACTGTCATTTCGCCCAACATACCTAAGAAAAAAATCGGTTGTCTGTAAAGTCGGTTTACTGACGATAGTTGAACGTGACAACGTTATAAGAAAATACTGATTGAATTGATTTAACACAATTCTAATGATACGATATAAGTATTTTGAGGTTAAGAACCTACCTGCTTCAATACAACAAAGTTGCAATAATGTGTTTGCAACGTTCTCTTAAATCGGCTTTGCACGTGCAAGTCATTGATATGATATTGCTTAAATCACCCAGAATCACCTCACCAATTATATAACGTGAATCACTTTTTAAATCCGAAGTATGTAAAAAGTAGGCAGTAAACTTGACGGAATTTTAAGGCTAGCTTCCGGATTTGTTATTTCCGAATTTTATAATGTGATTGACGTTAAAAACACGCTCACCTTCAACGAAATTTCCTTTCCGAGGTTTTGTGTCAGCCCAATCACATATTGTGTCAATACTTATCATTTTATCGTAATTTAAAAACTTGGAAATTGCACGGTACACTTATAGGAACTATAAATTTCCCTAATCGGCGCCATGTTTTTAGGCTCCTCCCATTTGACGGATCCCAATATAGAAAGAAAGACTCTTTCAAGTACTGTTTGAATGACGACCGTCATTATCAAAGAGTACAGGAGAATTAGTAAGCATAAGAGGTCCGTGATCGTAAATATTTTGTTAAATACCGACCTCAATCGAAACCGTCAGACGTGGATCGCGACTTCCATCTCACTGAATCTCGTCAGCAAACTGTAAACAATTCCAATGGAATACAGGATAACTCAACCTACTGTTTTCAGACAACGTTTTATAAATTAACTGTTTATAATTTATTTTCTCCTTTCAACTGACTAACTAGACTAGAGTGGTTTCTAACAGAACGCCTACTTTTACTAACGACAGACGTTATAGAGAATATCGTAAACACTGAAAAAAGATAATTCCAACCAATCAGTTCTAAAGCCAACCTTGATCTTTTGTGTATCGAAGTACCTATCGTCTAACCGCTGCACCACTTACTGGTATTCGGTTATTTCTTTTCACTTTGCTTGTACTACTCATGAAGTATTTCCTAACTTAAGAAGGGTGTGTTCAAAGCGCAGCAAATGACTATAGACTCAACTGGAAATAAGAAAGAAAATACGTCCTTTCTCACATATTATTTATTACGGATTTTTCCAATTTTGATCGTCTCAACTATACGGTGTGGGTTCAGTCTGAAAACCTTTGCTTTAAATGTTTCATTCCCACCAGCTATAGGTAGTCCCTCCGGATTACGCCACATGGTGGAGCGGAAGGCCCTCTTCAATTTCGTTTCGGGAATCGTGGGAATAAGTAGGTGGTGGTTGGGGTAGAAAAAGGAGACGAACAAAGTGAAGAAAGTGAAAATTATCTGTGGAATATTACTGCCCCAAACATTTGCCTAAGTGATTCAAGAAAACAACAGAAAAACTTGGACCAGGGTAGACGGAATTGAAATCAAGACAGTGTTTTTTCTAATTATTTTTAGTATATTTATTACCATTTGAAGTCATTGTCGAGGGTACAAAAAAGGACTTAAGGTACCTTTTATCCAGAAAAAAATACTGTACCCAAGCGATGGAGGAATTTTTTTTTCATTTCCATAAAGAAGGACAGTATTTACCGTCATTCTACACAAAGTGTATATTTAACTTAGAAAATTAGAAACTTTAATTTTATCCTGATGATCCTAGTCAGGACAAATTTTTCAAATTATTGTATTTTCGATGATCTTTAACACGCATTTAGGACATCAAAGCGAGCGAAACTCGGTGATGGCGAATTCCCTCCCGCAGGTAGTTGGTTAAAATATAGATTTCGAATTCCCTCCCGGGTACTAGCCGAATTCCCTCCCGTTCATATCAACTCCGATAATTAAGTTAACGACTACTTACCGATTCTATTTATCGAAAATAAATATATATTTATAGTGCACTTCAGTACTTCAGTAAATTAAAGATAAAATAATTTCAGAAAGAAAACACATATCAGTTATGAAATGTTTATTTATTTAATTTTAAAATGGTTTCCCACTACCTTAACAAATTCAATGTTTGGAAATTCGTGTGCGTCTAGCTTTTTGATGCAATCATCTAGAAAAACTTTATTAGTTTTAGTTTGTCTTGTATTTGACCAATAGAAGGGTAGTCTGATAAAATTATTATTGTTATTGTGGTGTCTATAATATATGAATAATATTAAGATTAATATGTGATGTGAGGCTGTATTATTTAAACAACTCTTTATGGCTTTATAGTGGCAATTAGCACTCAAGGTCATCCGCCGCCGTTGGGAGGCAATTGATGTATAATTAGGAGGGAATTCGACATACCGAAAATTTTAACCCTAATTAAAAACAGGTATATGGGAGGGAACTAGGCATTATCCGCGAAACCGAGGGTAAAAGCTAGTGGTCTATACCATCACCCTTCGTCGTCAGTCCTGAAACTGGTTGAACACGCACCTCCACTCCTTCCTATCCTGAACTAATCTTCGCATCTCCTTAAAACCAGAACATCCCACATCTTTAACTATTTGCGAACAGTAATCTTATCTAGATCTACCTCTACTCCTGTTGATATGTGTCTGACTAGACCTTTATGCCTGAGAAGGTGTCCTACCAACCCATATCGCTTATCTTTTATTGACTTCCATAGAGTCCTCTGTTCTCCTATTTTTTCCTAATACCGCCTCATTTCTAACCTTCTCTATCCACAGTATTCTCAACACAACATTCGCCGGTAACAGCACATTTCGAACGCTTCTAACCTTTTCTTTTCTGCGCCCACCGTTTATGTTTCGCAGAGGTAGAGACGCGATATTTTCTTCAAAATTGTCTGGGACCTCTCTTGAGATAATTAATTAGTTCGCGTAACATACATAATCATAATCATAAACATCATTATCGTACCATCGTCAATCCTAAACTTGGTTGAACATTTTTTTTTGGGTGTTTCATTCCCACCAGCCAGTAATGCTGGTGGGCGAGCAGTCCCTCCGCACTATGCCGGAAGGTAGGGCGGAAGGCCCTCTTCACCCTGCTTTCAGGAATCGTGGGAATGGGTGGGTGGTGGTTCGGGTGAGAAGGATGAGACGGACGAAATGCAAAAGAGTCAAAGATTATCTGTGGAATATGACTGCCTCAGCATTTGCCTAAGTGATCCAAGGAAACCACAGAAAAACTTGGACCAAGGCAGACGGACCGGCGTCCTCCCGAATGCTAAGCAATGGTCTAGACCTCTAGGCCATGCCGCTCGGTTTGGTTGAACACGCACCTCCACTCTTTTCTATTCTAACCTTCGCATTTCCCTAAAACTAGAATATCCCACATCCTTGACTATTTGTGAACAATAACCTAATCTAGGTCTACCTCTCCTCCTGTTTCTCCTGTTTCTGATTTTAATATGTCCTCAACTAGACCTAGGATATTTAAACACAAAAATATGTTTGCGTTTCATTATACCGAATAAGTACGCACATATTACGTATTTATTCACATCCAAAAATATCCTCGGTGATTTTATGTTGACACTATTACTTAACACCAAGTACAGTTACAGAATTTATCCACATACGTATAATATGGTCATTGTCGTACTTCATTTAGAAGAACTAAAAACCTACATTTCGAATATTCATTGACATAAAATTCAAAATTATTGTTACATTAAGTGCTAGTCAGTCACGTTTAACGTATCTGTGCTCAGTATGCATTCGTTATAAGATGAAATTTACTGGAGTTTCTTCTATAACATTTGTATTCTTAGTTAGTGCTCTATGTATTGATATTGTTATTGGGAAAGAACATCATAGGGAAGAGAGAGCTGTTATAGTTTATCAACGCAATTCAGTTATTCAGGTAAATTAATTGAAAACTATTTTATCTATCTATCTAACACCAAAAATATCTGCAAGCATTACTTCGTTAGATCATTAGATCCTATGAAAATTATTGAATAGATCGAAACAAAAATCGTTATTTTTTTTACGTAATTCCTTACTTGTTTAAAATGCTTTAATTTGTTTTATAAATTCCTTCCTTTTAAATCTGTTTAATTTTTAACTTTTGTTTTATGTTTATAATAAGCGTTATCGACTGAAGTTCAAGAATCATGTTACCTATTTGAAACAAAATATCGTTCCCTGAAGATCAATCAAAATCAATTCAAGAATTACAAAATCTGTCAAACATTTACTTCTATTGAGCTTCAAGTAGATATATATTACGTTCGCTGGTAATCAAATCTGCAATTATATCAGATATTTAAAAATAACACGAAAAATATCGTCAACTGTTAACATCCACTGTCAACCGTTTCAGATTAGTTTGTAAAGCCTGGTCAAATAACAGTAAAGATATGTATACTGCCGGATGCCTGATGCCTATTTCCTAATTACGCATTCGTATAAATTAATTCGAACATGTAATCTGCAGTGAGCAGGTCTCTTCAAAAAATGTCACGAATTTTGTGTTTTTTCAAAAACTATTTATTTATTCATGAATATCTATTTTGTTCCCTTCAAAGTAATCCCCAGCAGATATTATACACTTGTGCCAACGTTTTTCCCAATCCTTGAAGAACTTTAAAAAATCATCTTTTGAGATCTTGTTCAGCTCCTTCTTCGATGCCGTCTTTATCTTCTCAATCGTAGCGTGACGTCTTGCTTTCATGGGACCCTACAGTTTCGGGAACAAGAAAACATCACAGGAGCCAGACCTGGGCAGTACGTTGGCTGCGTCACCATTAGTGTGTTGTTTTTGGCCAAAAATTCGCACGCAAGCAACTATGTGTGAGCAGGGGCTTTATCATGGTGCAAAAGTTAATCTTCGTTCTTCCACAAATCCGGGCGTTTCTTGCGGATTGCTTCGCGCAAAATACGCATAACTTGCAGGTAGTATTCCTTATTGACCGTCTACTCTGTGGCAAGAACTCAGATGCACCACACCCCTGCAATCGAAGAAAACTGTAAGCAAAATCTTCACATTCGACGTAACTTGGCAAGCTTTTTTTGAGTCTTGACTCATGCGGCAGCTTCCATTGGGATGATTGAGCTTTGGTTTCCACGTCATAACCATAAGCCCATGATTCCTCACCAGTTATGACCCTCTGTGAATAGTAACCTAATCTAATGCGCTGCTGCTTTTGGTCGAAATTGAGCAATTTTTGTACGAATTTCGCGGCGACCCGTCTTATGCTCAAATCATTGATAAAAATCGAATAGCAGAAGCCAATCGATATGTGTAAATCCTCAGATACTTTTCTAACCGTGAATCGACGATTGGCCAATACTATTTTTTTCATTTCATCAATGTTTTCGTCTGTTGACGTGCTCAGGCGTCCGGCACGCTCTTCCTCGTTCACATCTTCTCGGCCCTCTGAGAACATTTGGTACGACGTTGCTTTGGTCCAAGGTAACTTGACCATGTCTGTGCAATTAATTTTGTTTTTCAAACAAAATTTGGTACAGATTCTTTGATCAATTTTTTGAAATATGCAAATATCGAAGCTAAGCCAAAACTCGTGCAAGCAAAGCAGCTGTCAAAAATTAACTGATCATCCAACATGGCCGAACTTGTCGATATAAGTGAGAGACATGACAATATACGTAACCCCGTGGAAACTCAAAATCGCGATACTTTTTGAACAGACCTCCTATTTAATCTAGTTATTAGCATTTTAAATTTTTTTGCAGTTTACTGTGGGGCCGTCATTTCCAGCACAACTTCCAAGGCGCACAATATCATTAGATATTGCGATACAACAAAACTTGAACCTGCCAACCAATTACAATTTCACTTATCCTCCAATTGTTTCGGGAAGGGCAGCAGTAAATCCGGATCTTAATGATGTTGACAGAGTCACCATGTACAAATATTTGATAAATATAATAGACAAGTGAGTTACTTCAAATACGTTTAAAAAACTTTGGAAGTGGGTAATAAGTTATGTGAGGTGGTCAGATATAAATTGACTGATGATGAACTCAAGTCATTAAATTTTCAACTAGAAAATGTTTTAGAATGTCGTGGGCCGTGAAATGTACGAGGAGTGAACCTTATTACATTCGTATTGTGGACTCATTATCATCTTCATTGTCACAATCATCATTATAAGGCCGTCAATCCTAATATTGAACTAAACTTCGCATTTTCTTAAAACTAGAACGTCCCACATCGTTAACTGTTTTTGAAATCCTTAACATCACTACATTTTTAATATGCCTAAAAACAGAACTTGTGGATGTTCCATAACTAATTAATCATCATCATCATCATCATAGGGTCATCAGACATTTCCTTAAAACTAGAATATGCTTTTAATATGTCTCTATAACGAGCCCTTCGTGTCTGAGAAGGTGTCCTACCATCCTATCTTGTCTATCCCTTATTGACTTCTATAACGCCCTCTGTTCTCTTACTCTTTCTAATACCCCTTCATTTCTAACCTTCTCTATCCACGGTATCCTCATCACTCGCCTGTAAAAGTACCTTCGCTTTTATGCCGCGCCCATCGTTCGCGTTTCCTTAAAACTAGAATATGCTTTTAATATGTCTCTATAACGAGCCCTTCGTGTCTGAGAAGGTGTCCTACCATCCTATCTTGTCTATCCCTTATTGACTTCTATAACGCCCTCTGTTCTCTTACTCTTTCTAATACCCCTTCATTTCTAACCTTCTCTATCCACGGTATCCTCATCACTCGCCTGTAAAAGTACCTTCGCTTTTATGCCGCGCCCATCGTCCGCGTTTCGCAACCTTACATTTCCGTGCTCCTGACATGGACCCTTAACCATCTTTTTACAATCGACTAGACTTTTGCTTTTTATGTTCACTCCTTATTCCATCCTTAATTATTTGAGATCCCAGATGTCGAAAATCAGCAACATCTTCTAATTTTTTCCTGCTTTTACTTTCACACTTTGTCTAATATTCTTCCCTTGCACACCAATATTTTTGTTATAACGATGACCTGAATTTTTATAATTTTTAGCGTAGGATTAAATGGTAAAATTTGTTTACTAAAATCAATTTGTGAAATTGGACAATATCCAATGCATATAGAGGATACAGACAGCTTATTAGAAAGAATTGTTCATTATGTATTTACGTAAGTATCCAGTATGAACCAGTCGTTTATAGAATTGTCTTCTAAATAATTCCTGATTGTTTTTCTTTCAATGGTAATATACTTCATATCATTTTTAGACCTTCAGAAGACCTAGTGGATGACGTAAATGATATTATGTCTGAAAATTTTCAGCAAGATGAAGCCAATGGTGAATTCTTTGACCAACCAAGGAAAATGTAACAGGGAATTTTCTGAATGCACCGTATCGGTAGTTTCATTGTTTACAAAATTATTTTTCACAAACTGACATACAAATAAAAATTATTTATTCTTATCTTCTTGACTTTTAATAAAAAATCATGTGAACAAACAGGCTAACCTCGGTATTTGTGGTCAAAATGACGAATTAAGCACCTAAATTATCTAAATCTCCATTTTACTGTTTACAAAACCATTTTAAATAGAAGGTGTTATAAAAAACATTCAATGTTCAATTCTCTCGCGAACTTAATTGATAATTATGCACAGATCGTAAATTTCAACGCTGGTCTATAAGTGAAGGTATATTCTGGGGAAGTCCACGCTAACTTGTAAAACGATTAAGGGAACTTAAAATGCGTCTGTTGTCATACTTATTGCTAACTCTAAATACATGTCTTTAGTAGAAAAACATACGAATGAACTAATTTTGTTTTGTGTTTGTCTTTAACTAAAAAAGAGCCTAAGAAATCAACGTCTCAATAAGTAACGCAGTTTCTATTAATAAGCCTAGTAGCATTATGACCAGAAAGTGACCACCCGTTCAATTCTCCCGATTCCTGAATGAAGCCTAGAAAAGGTCTTCCTCTCTACACTCCAGCGTAGTATAGAGGGGCTGCCCGCCTACCAGCATTAATAGCTGGTTGGAATAAAGCACTAAAAATTTTTTTGTGTGTGTTGGAACTCCTAAGTCACATGCGCCAGTGTGTGGTGGTGCATTGGGTAGGCCTTCGGGTAGGGTAGGAGATGCAGGCGATCATAGTATCATTGCCTATCTGTTCCATTCCCATAAACTTAAACCATTCTAAAAATCGGTCAGACTATTTAAAAGGGTGACATGGTTAGCTGTTGCTGAAATAATATGAATTCATAAAGGTAGGGGTGTGGATATATGGGTATACGAAAGTTGTAAGCACTCTGCTAACTTTTTTGTAGATATCGACAAAAGTGGATTTCCTTACTTATTTAAAAACTTTTAATCACATTCGAGAAACAGATTACAAAATAAGCGCTTGTACAGATGGTGTTAAACAATAATCATCATCATAAGATCGTCAGTCCTAACACTGGTTGGACAGAGACTTCCACTCCTTCCTATCCCTAAAACTAGAACATTCCACATCCTTAACTATTTGCAAACAGTAATCTAATCTAGGTCTACCTCTACCCCTCCTAACTCCTGTTTCTACCTGTACTATATCTCTGACTAGGCCTCTGTTCTCTTATTTTTTCTCATACCTCTTCATTTCTAATCTCTATCCACGGTATTCTCATTATTCGCCTGTAACAGCAGATTTCGAACGCTTCCTACCTTTTCTTTTCTGCCACACCTACCGCCCGCATCCGTACAACATCGCACTCCAAACATACACCTTTAACAATCTTTTTCAAATTTCTAAATTAATCATTCGCTAGCATAAAAGTGACTTCTTTTTATTGAAGGCGACTCGACCCTGCGCTATCCTCTGCTTTACATCTGCTTCCGTCCTGTCTTACCTGACTTCTCCTATCTTTATATTCGCTCTTTCCCTACTTTTTCTTCCCTTGCATATCAGTATTTTTGTTTTACTTTATTTTCATACAATACTGTTTCGTTAATACCGCTTCCATTTTATTTACAACTATCTCTAACTCTTCCTTGCTAGATGCTAATACCGCTATATCATTTGCAAATCTAAGCACACTAATCTTTTGTTCCTCTATATCTATCCCTGCAATTGCACTGCCTTTAATGATGTTGATCGCGCCTACGATGTTTAGAATAAAAAGTGACAGAGAGTGTACATCCTTATCTGATTCCCTTCCTAATATTTACTTCTCTACGTTGCTGCTCCAGCTGCTCTTTATACAAAGTAAGTACCACTCTTCTATCTCTATCAACTAGGTACAATAAAATTCCATGAATAACTAACTAACGTAAAACATGATAAGATACAATATTTGAATCCCTGTCAACCAAATATCTATGATCACAACCTTAAAGGAACGATTATTTAAATCACTTAATTAAAATTCATAAAAGTACATATCATTCAAACATTTAACATGATTTTTTCATAATAACAGATCCGGCAACGTCTAATCTAATATCAAAATTGTTCAATGATACCGTTTTGAGACAGTGAGATACCTTAGCACTTCTATCTTGTATTTTTTCAAGCATTCAGTTATCGGTCGGCAAAAAAGTGAAGCATAAATAATTGTAAATTTGTTCAGACTTTGATAAACAGTCATAATTGATTTATAGCTCTTGAAAAATTTAGAAGTTCTCAAAATGAAGATACTCATTTTATTGGCTGTACTAACTGTATCCGTTAGGTATATGTTCATGGAAGGAAAGTTTACTATCTTAGCTTTGGTTATTTACCCACTGAACTATCAGATTCATACTAAATTTGATGGATTTTGTCTATCAATTGCACATATAAATGACTTCTTCATTCCCACTTAAGCAATTCCTCAATGCATAGGTAAGTGTATGTTGACACTATTGCTTAACACCGACTACAGTTACTGTGCATTTATACTTCGTTCCTTGTCCCACACTTGCAATAAATGACCACATACATGCATGGTGATTATAGCACCTCATTTAGCACAACCAAAAACCTTTCAAATTTTTCAATTTAGATTTTTCGTTATAATAAGTGTTAGTCCGCCTCTCTTAGAGTTGTGCTGAGTATGCATCCGTTGTAAGATGAAATTTGTTGGAGTTTCTTCTATAATATGTGTATTTATAGTGAGTGCTCTATTTATTAATATTATCATCGGAAAGAGAGATCGTAGAGAAGGTAGTGCTCCTCCGGCTTCTAGTACAGTCGTTTCGGTTAGTCAGGTAAACCAATCCCGGGTGAAAATATTGTCAGTATAAGTCAAATTAATGTCGATTTGAAGTCAGAATAATTTTTAATTGCTAAAGGAAATGTGGAAAGCACACGGATACTTTAATTATATAAACACAGACACAAAAATTGACATCCATTATTGCTTAACCTTCAAGTATCTGGTGTATGCATATTATATAGATATATTCCTATGGCAATAGCGACCACATGTAAAATTATCAAGCCAGGGCGAAAGGATAAGAGATTCCGAATTTTTGAGCTTGAACTATCTACATTGGACTTTAAATAATTTCGCACCGCTGTCAGAAAACACGTGGAATATTATAGACAATTGCTCGCGGGTTGTCAACGGTACGTAGGGTCATTTGGGAGTTCGGTGGTTGTAATTCATTACTGTACCTTCCCCAGTGCTTATTTGGAACGAAAATGGTCGTATTTCTTTAGTAGCGTAACATATTTTAAATTTCTGTTGGTTTTGAAAAAAAAAGCTTCCGGGTGTTTCACTCTTATTACATGACGTTTGTGGGTGGAAAGAAAGCCACTTTAGGAATCAGGGCAATGGGTGGGTGCTGGTTGGGAAAAGATAGAAGAGGCGAAAGGTTTGAAAGCAGAAGAGAAGTGAAAGGTTATTTGTAGAATATTACTGCACCGGCATTTGCCCTAAGTTATCCAAGGAAATTTCAGAGCAACTCCAACCAGTAGGGCAGGCGGGACCCCTAATCAAATCGAATGCTAAGTATTGAGGACATTGTAAAAAGTGCGTTACTAATTAGCAATTTATTTCTTGTTCTTTAACTATGAAAGACTTTTTTGTTTAAGTAAAACTGTAATAGTTTTTGCCATAATAGAATTATCTTTAATAGCTATAAATATTTAAAACAGAATGAACCGATCTGCTCATTTTGCACATAAAGATCTTTTTTTTCTTTTGTTATTAATGTAGTAAATTGATAGGCACCTCAAGCTTTTGGAGGTTATTGCACCCCTGAAGACAAACATATTTTTTTTAACCACAAAAGAAAAACACTTTGAAAACTATTTCACTTAGTACCTATAGGTANAGTAGTAAAAAAATGTGACATGAAATAATTTCAAATGGAAATGCTTCCTATAAGTCTACAACAATTTTTTTCTAAAATACTTTTGTAGTTTTACTTTTAACGTATTCGAAAAATTTATTTATTTGTTGTAATTATTATTTGTTATACCTTTCATTTTCACTTGTTTTTTACCACCTTTTGATTGTCCAGAAATTTACAGAAATGACCGACTTCCTACTTTGAAAAACGTAAATGTTAATAAATTATATGTATAGTATAACAAGAAAAGAAAAATATTAAATTTCAGTTAGTAAAAAAGAAACTTACGAAATCTTCAGCGATACTATAATTCGTCTGTAAATACGCATCATTCTTCAAAAATCCGACGTTACCCCCTAATCCAGCAAATTCAGTAGTTAATTGGAAAAGTGTCCCACAAGATGGAAATATTAGCTCATCTCGAAGGTCTACTGACAAAATATGCCTCAAGGCACTTTTTAGGTTGGGTCCAGACTCTTCTCTGACTTCAAAGGCTGAACCTCGACCTAAAACACTGATATTTCTTATTGCTCCGATCCACTGTATATTGTGCTTAATCTAAAAATAAAAAATTCATTACATGTAGAATACCACAGTCTTTAAATTGCTTACCAGAGGCAGTGAATTGAATCCAAGATCAAAACAAACACCCATATCATTTTCTTTATAACCAGATGGTGGCCATTCAGTCGATTGCTTATAAATTGAAGTAGAAATTCTAAAAAAACAATGTTTCATGAATTCAATCAACAAAAAAGTAAGTAATGAACTAAATATGGGAAACATACAGTGGGGTGTGCCTTCCCTTGAGTGGTTTTATGAATGCTACATTGAAATTGTGAGTTCCTTGTGAACCATGTGAATATTCAACCTGAAAGCGTTCACCCCTTCCAAACAAATTTGGTGCTTTCAGTCCAACAACTAAAGAACCTTCATTATTTCCTACATGTGTACTTACACCTCCTACAACCCTTCTGAGCTCTTTAACTTGGAACGTTATCTTAAATGAAATTAAAACAAGGGCATCACTTATCTATCTTAGTAATAGGCTTCACATTATAATACCTCCAGGCCATCAGGTGAAGCTGTTGGACCTTTACTTGTATCTATGAAAACTGCAATGTTCCTAAAGCAGCCTAATGAATCCAATCGGCTTCTGACCTAAAAAAGAGGTTACTATGTGCTTAATTTTTTACTATCTAACAAAATGAATATTAACTCACTTTGTGTGCTTTAATTAAGACTTCTTGGAAATCAGTAGCTTTATATATATACCACTTAACCACTGCTTCGTAATACTACAAAAGCCAATCAAGGTATATTCTCTCACTATAGCCTAACAAAAGTCTATACGCATGACAATTATCAGAATCTTTTCCACCATAAACTAACGTTTAAGGTTTAAACTTGGGACATTGTACTTCACATAAACCAATCAAGAAGTATGATCTCATAACCTGACCCAAGTCCATGGGGTGTAGCATTTCATACGCAAGACAGTCAGGGAATAATCTTTTACCAAAACCTTACATCGGCCTAAGAGACACAGCACATCACACATACGAATTAGGGTTTCTACATAAAAGAAATGTTTCGATTAGGCGACAACATCCTAAATATTAAAATTCTGCAATTTAGTTACCTCCGTTGCTTTATTAAAGTACCAATTTGACACCGCGCCCAAAAACTGTTGTCAACTCTTAGTAAATATCGTCCATTTCTCATGAGCTCTTTTGTATGTTTAGATTATTTCATACATTTTAGCAAAACTTATGACAGAATGTACCTGTTTAACACAGCACTCGAAAACTGTTGAGACCATAAGACTTCTCGTAAATATCGTGCATTTCCTAATTATTTCATAGTCTCTTATTTATGTTTAGATTATTTCAAATAGTTTGGCAAAAATAATGTCGGAAAGTACGTATTTGAGACGACACTCAAAAACCGATAGGGTCATTTGATTTTACGTACTTTTGAGCATAATAATCATTTCTCGAATCTTAGTAACACATCGTCCACTTCCCAATTACTTCAAGAGCTCTTCTTTATGTTTAGATTGTTTCATACATTTTAGTAAAGACGATTCCGGAAAGTACCCATTTAACACTGTCCTCGATAACCGTTGGGACCAAAGATTCTACGTAATTTTGATCACTTCCCAAATCTAAGTTTCCCAGTTATTTCATGGTCTCTTCTTTATGTTTAGACTGTTTCTCATATTTAAGAAAAATAATTCCGGAAAGTACCTATTTGATACCGCAACGTTGAGATTCTGTGTAATTTTTTTTTATATAATCGCTTCTCAATAAACGTCGGAATCGTTAGGCTAAATTAAGTTTGGCTTACGCTAGGCTGTGGTGAGAAAAGGTTTCCTAACTGAGTTGTGTAAAATACCCCATGGAGACAGGTTTAATGCGTTGCGTATCATAATCAGCCATTAAATAATGCTAACTACAGAACCTATTTAAATAACTTTTTATTAGGTACGATATTTTTTATGTCAAAAACCATCAGCACATAAACTCTCTGTATAATTTTTTCCGAACTTTTAGGTTTTCTAATCGCGACTATTTTTGTATTTTGAATGGCAATTTATAATACTTGTATTTTTTGGATTTTTAGCGTAGGATTCAATGGTAGAATTTGTTTACTAAAATCAATTTGTGAAATTGGACAATATCCAATGCATATCGAGGATACAGATAGCTTATTAGAAAGAATTGTTCATTATTTATTTACGTAAGTATCAAGTATGAACTAAAGTTTATAAAATTATCTTCTAAATAATTCCCGATTGTTTTGCTTTTAAAGATGGCATCCTTCATATCGTTTTTAGACCTTCAGAAGATTTGGTGGATGACATAGATGACGATTTTCTGCAAGATGAAGCTAATGGCGAATTTTTTGATCAACTCCTACGAGCTGAATTTTTAGGGAAAACGCAAGGAAAATGTAACAAGGAATTTTCCGAATGTGATATATCTGTGATTTCGCTGTTTACAAAATTATTTTTCACAAGGTGACATAGATGCACATAATTAAGTTAGTTATTTTTACCNACTAAGTATGCCTTAAATTAACGAAATTGTGTATACTGATAGCCTGCTGCTAATGTGCATTCAAATAAACTCCCAAAAGAACCGTACCAATTGTTTAATAGTTGCAGATTACAGATTATTAGATACTTTTAAACACATTTTACTTTCATTTTCGTCCCATGCCCTCCACATTTGTCATCGATTAAAATAATTCACTTAACCTATTTTTTTAGTCTTGGTTCATCAGTAATAGGACGTGAATAAAATAATTTTAGTAATTTATCTAACATATATTAAGAGAATTGTCAAGCAAAGTTAGTTTTAAAAATTAACTTAGAACTTAGAAATGTAAACATATTTTTGAATAATGATGTAATAATAATAACAATTTAAGTGTACAAATAAGTAGTTACTATATTAGAAAATACATTAGTAGAAATTACTTTGGAGATGATATTGTTTTACTACTTGAATTTTAATTAAATACTAATTTTTTAAATGTATATTTAGAAATACCACCACTATTTGAATTTTAGGGTTATTTTTAGTACTTTTATTTTGATTTTCATTTTTAGAACCTGTAGTGGTGGCCCTCCTTAAGTCAGTAACTTTTATTATTTTTGGGTTGTCTATGGTTAGTTTGATCAAGTAATCTCAGCTGTGTGGTGGTGACTTTAGATCGCGTATATTTAGAGAAAAATACAATTTATTAAACAATAGTTACAATTTCTCATAAACAACGGTACTTTGCAGTGATTAAAATTCAGTACTAGTGTTCTTGCCATGATTATTGACGATCCTGATGCTTTTAAAACTTGGTTAACTGCTGTTCTCAAGCCTCTGTAAGTGCTCCATATTTTTATATCAGTTTGCATAATTTACTTCATTAAGAGAAAATATTTTTCAAATTACTGGAGATCAAGTTGAATTTACATTTTGTGTATGAAAATAACATGCCTTATGATATATATTTTTTCCAATTTATTCATTAACCTAACTTTCCCTGTAAGGTGGTTTTTCATGATTTTCTATCTTTTTAGATGTGAAGCAGATCCAGGGGCTTTGGCAAAATATGTTTTTGCCCTTGTTAAAAAAGATAAATCAGAGGATGTTCTTCGTCAAAGTATGATAAGTCAATTAGAAGTATTTTTACAACAAGGTAATTTTATTTCTGCAAATAACTTTAAAATATTAATTTATTGTTCATATTTTCAGAGACTGAAAGTTTTGTTAACCTGCTTTTTAAAACGTTAGAGACAAAAGAGTATTTGACACCAGTTATTCCAAATGCGAATCCACCTAATCCAAATGTAGTCAAAGCCGTTGAGATAGCCACATCAAGAAAGAAAGAAATTATTCCCTTAACACATATATTAACCCATAATCATATAGTTTGGTCCAGTCATAACTTCGCAATAATATGTAGAAGTGAAATGATTATTTTCAGATACAAAAATAAAAACTAAAAGCCAATTGCATCTATTACCCAATTTTAAAAACAATTTCTTTAGAAACATAATGGCAGTTTTAACATAAAAAAAAACAAACTAATCAGAAAATAGAGATAATAGAATTAAGGTAGGTAACCTCATATTTCTTAAAAAAAAGAAACGGACAATAACAGGACCTCCTCTGAAGCTATTATTGTTTTTCAAGTTATCCATTAGACCAAACGGTATGATTCTGAGCTCAGTTTTCAAGTTTTAATTGCTTGTACAAAAAAATCGAGTATAAAGTAGTAAAAAAATGTGACATGAAATAATTTCAAATGGAAATGCTTCCTATAAGTCTACAACAATTTTTTTCTAAAATACTTTTGTAGTTTTACTTTTAACGTATTCGAAAAATTTATTTATTTGTTGTAATTATTATTTGTTATACCTTTCATTTTCACTTGTTTTTTACCACCTTTTGATTGTCCAGAAATTTACAGAAATGACCGACTTCCTACTTTGAAAAACGTAAATGTTAATAAATTATATGTATAGTATAACAAGAAAAGAAAAATATTAAATTTCAGTTAGTAAAAAAGAAACTTACGAAATCTTCAGCGATACTATAATTCGTCTGTAAATACGCATCATTCTTCAAAAATCCGACGTTACCCCCTAATCCAGCAAATTCAGTAGTTAATTGGAAAAGTGTCCCACAAGATGGAAATATTAGCTCATCTCGAAGGTCTACTGACAAAATATGCCTCAAGGCACTTTTTAGGTTGGGTCCAGACTCTTCTCTGACTTCAAAGGCTGAACCTCGACCTAAAACACTGATATTTCTTATTGCTCCGATCCACTGTATATTGTGCTTAATCTAAAAATAAAAAATTCATTACATGTAGAATACCACAGTCTTTAAATTGCTTACCAGAGGCAGTGAATTGAATCCAAGATCAAAACAAACACCCATATCATTTTCTTTATAACCAGATGGTGGCCATTCAGTCGATTGCTTATAAATTGAAGTAGAAATTCTAAAAAAACAATGTTTCATGAATTCAATCAACAAAAAAGTAAGTAATGAACTAAATATGGGAAACATACAGTGGGGTGTGCCTTCCCTTGAGTGGTTTTATGAATGCTACATTGAAATTGTGAGTTCCTTGTGAACCATGTGAATATTCAACCTGAAAGCGTTCACCCCTTCCAAACAAATTTGGTGCTTTCAGTCCAACAACTAAAGAACCTTCATTATTTCCTACATGTGTACTTACACCTCCTACAACCCTTCTGAGCTCTTTAACTTGGAACGTTATCTTAAATGAAATTAAAACAAGGGCATCACTTATCTATCTTAGTAATAGGCTTCACATTATAATACCTCCAGGCCATCAGGTGAAGCTGTTGGACCTTTACTTGTATCTATGAAAACTGCAATGTTCCTAAAGCAGCCTAATGAATCCAATCGGCTTCTGACCTAAAAAAGAGGTTACTATGTGCTTAATTTTTTACTATCTAACAAAATGAATATTAACTCACTTTGTGTGCTTTAATTAAGACTTCTTGGAAATCAGTAGCTTCAAATAAATCCTTTACAGCATCTTCTACAATATCATTACAAGTTCTTTGCAAGCCATCCACATGAATTTTCTCTACAGTAGCCTATCAGTACAAAAACAATATAAAATTATGAAATAAAACTGTGGTAATAATAACGTTACCCAAACTCAACAATAAAAAAAATTTACCTTCACCCCTTCCAAATTTATTCTTTGGGTATCATCGCAATTGTCATAGTCAATTTGTTTCTTCTCAATTCCACTTAGTAATGATTCCGAGGTGTTGTAAGGTTCAACATTTTGCTAAAAGTGAAAAATTGTTTAATATATTTATTTTATAACGTCTAAATAAAAAATAAATTGATTTTTTGTGAAGTTTCTGCTCTTACCTTAGCATGCACGATTCCCATTTCACTTTTCAATTTTTATAAGGCCGGTTCTTCAAAATGTGACATTAAATTTCATAATCGTTTTAAATATCCTAGTAACCACAAGAACTAAGTATGCCTTAAATTAACGAAATTGTGTATACTGATAGCCTGCTGCTAATGTGCATTCAAATAAACTCCCAAAAGAACCGTACCAATTGTTTAATAGTTGCAGATTACAGATTATTAGATACTTTTAAACACATTTTACTTTCATTTTCGTCCCATGCCCTCCACATTTGTCATCGATTAAAATAATTCACTTAACCTATTTTTTTAGTCTTGGTTCATCAGTAATAGGACGTGAATAAAATAATTTTAGTAATTTATCTAACATATATTAAGAGAATTGTCAAGCAAAGTTAGTTTTAAAAATTAACTTAGAACTTAGAAATGTAAACATATTTTTGAATAATGATGTAATAATAATAACAATTTAAGTGTACAAATAAGTAGTTACTATATTAGAAAATACATTAGTAGAAATTACTTTGGAGATGATATTGTTTTACTACTTGAATTTTAATTAAATACTAATTTTTTAAATGTATATTTAGAAATACCACCACTATTTGAATTTTAGGGTTATTTTTAGTACTTTTATTTTGATTTTCATTTTTAGAACCTGTAGTGGTGGCCCTCCTTAAGTCAGTAACTTTTATTATTTTTGGGTTGTCTATGGTTAGTTTGATCAAGTAATCTCAGCTGTGTGGTGGTGACTTTAGATCGCGTATATTTAGAGAAAAATACAATTTATTAAACAATAGTTACAATTTCTCATAAACAACGGTACTTTGCAGTGATTAAAATTCAGTACTAGTGTTCTTGCCATGATTATTGACGATCCTGATGCTTTTAAAACTTGGTTAACTGCTGTTCTCAAGCCTCTGTAAGTGCTCCATATTTTTATATCAGTTTGCATAATTTACTTCATTAAGAGAAAATATTTTTCAAATTACTGGAGATCAAGTTGAATTTACATTTTGTGTATGAAAATAACATGCCTTATGATATATATTTTTTCCAATTTATTCATTAACCTAACTTTCCCTGTAAGGTGGTTTTTCATGATTTTCTATCTTTTTAGATGTGAAGCAGATCCAGGGGCTTTGGCAAAATATGTTTTTGCCCTTGTTAAAAAAGATAAATCAGAGGATGTTCTTCGTCAAAGTATGATAAGTCAATTAGAAGTATTTTTACAACAAGGTAATTTTATTTCTGCAAATAACTTTAAAATATTAATTTATTGTTCATATTTTCAGAGACTGAAAGTTTTGTTAACCTGCTTTTTAAAACGTTAGAGACAAAAGAGTATTTGACACCAGTTATTCCAAATGCGAATCCACCTAATCCAAATGTAGTCAAAGCCGTTGAGATAGCCACATCAAGAAAGAAAGAAATTATTCCCTTAAGTGAACTATCATCAGTTACTGAAACAGTTAATGGTACATCAAAGAAGGAGAAAGAAGTTGAACCTCCAAGAAGAGAACGTGAAATTAAGAAAAGTGATACTGTAAGTGCAACCAATCTTATTATTGATTATTAATTAATTTAGCTACACAAGTAATCCTTTAAAAAGTTATATCTCAATGAGGTTGCAAAACACCTGTGTATGATACTGAATATAATAATAGTTAAGAAAACTACTACAAAATACTTATTATGCTGTTAATTATTTGCTAACTAAATGTTGTCATAAGAACACAATCAATATTAAAGCACTTTACGTGGTAATATTATAATTTGAAGCAAAAAGTTTCTGTATCTGCCTGTTTGTAATGTACATATTTGTTTAATTATTGCCCATTTGTTTTATTTTAAAACCATAGTATGTTTATTTCTTAGGAGAAAGATGAACGACCTCGTAGAAGATCACGTCATAGATCTTCGTCTCGTAATCGTTCCAGGTCTCGTTCATGGGACAGATCTCGAAAATCCCGGTCTCGAGAAAAATCTAGAGAACGAGAAAGGGATTTGTATCGACTTGACAGGGACAAACGGGATCGTGTACGTCCGTACCGTAATAAATCTCCCCCACGAAGATACGACAGAAGAAGGTCACGAACACCATCCCCTGGTGGAAAAATTAGATCTCGATCCAGAAGTCCCAGGCATTCATACAGAGGGCGCTATAGAAATAGGTCTCCTCCGAGGTCTGACAGTAGAAGCAGGAGCAGAAGTAGAAGTCGATCTGCAGATAGAAAAGACCGGAAAGATTCAGCCAGGGGAGATACTAAAGAACTTAAGGAGAGTCATTCTGGTGCTGCTACACCCACACAGGACTCTAATCATGGTGATATGGATATGAGGTGTGTTAGTAATTAAATGACATTGTTTGAATTAATACTCATTTTCTAAATATGCCAGTAAATTAAAAGAGGACATTATAAGAATATAATCTTATTTGTTTCTGTAATAGGCTTACAAATACAACCCAAAGCATTCAATCTGTGGTTGTACATCAAAGTTCAAATGAAAACCGGGCTCAGAAGAAGAGATGCAGGGACTATGATGAGAAAGGGTATTGTATGAGAGGTGAAATGTGCCAATTTGATCATGGTGCTGACCCTGTTGTACTTGAAGATTCTGCCCTTTCGACAGTTCTTACATTTACCCCCAATACCGCTCCGGTAGCTGATGTGGCTCCAATTATCGCACCACCAATTTTAGGAACTGGTACTCACCCCATGATGCACCAAATACACCCAAGGCCATTGCCACCTGAATACAACCCGCAGGTAAATTATTATTATTTGGTGTTATGAATTGAATTAAATTTATTGACTACAAGATTTGCAAAAACGTAAATATGTATTTATTAGATCTTAATATCATAAATATCTTTATTTTTATCAACTAGTTTTCAACAGCATGTGATTTTTATTTATAGGCGCCACAGATGTGGCACAGACCCGGTTATCGTGGTCCACGTCCTATGTTAGGTCCTCGAGTGGGCTCCATGGGCGCGTTTGTTCCACCCCAACGGGAGCTTATTCGCGTGCCAGTTATGGACAACCAAGCACCCGAACATTTTGGGAACACTTACAAAAAACAAATGCAGTATGGCGGTAATGGAGGCTCTATTGGTATAGGTGGCATTGTTGGACAAGAAGTCGATTCACATCACGATATCATATTCAAGAAGAAGACTTTCGATTATAACAGGCTTGGACCAAGAGCCAAAAATGCCGCCAATTGTTCTCTCGAACTTAAAAAAGTTCCGCCAGGATTGAATAATATCACACACTTGAATAACCACTTTTCAAAGTTTGGGAAGATCGTGAATATACAGGTGTCATACGAGGGTGATCCTGAGGCAGCAATTGTCACATTCTCAAGTCATGCAGAGGCTAATGCAGCATACAGGAGCACCGAAGCCGTCCTCAATAATCGATTTATCAAAGTGTTTTGGCACAGTGGAAACAATGATGGTAAGTTTCATTTTAATTGAAGTCGTTTAGTATTATTTATTTATGTTTTGAAAAAACCCCATGAGATCATAAAAAATTATTTTCTTGATTAACTGCTCCATTAATTTCCGTTTACATTTTTCACCTTTGTTATTAATTCATTATATCCATTTTTAAATCACAATTTTTCTGTTTATTCACTATAATTTTTAATAATATAATCGGTATGCCCTTCAGGTCAATANAATCAATTTGTGAAATTGGACAATATCCAATGCATATCGAGGATACAGATAGCTTATTAGAAAGAATTGTTCATTATTTATTTACGTAAGTATCAAGTATGAACTAAAGTTTATAAAATTATCTTCTAAATAATTCCCGATTGTTTTGCTTTTAAAGATGGCATCCTTCATATCGTTTTTAGACCTTCAGAAGATTTGGTGGATGACATAGATGACGATTTTCTGCAAGATTTGTTTGATTTCCACGACTATTAACCTAGTCCCTTCGAACAATCTTGTTTAAACATTTGTTTTGCACATAACCTTTATTTTCAAAATAATTTGGTTTTAATAAGAAAATTCATTTCAAAAAAACTGGAGTGTATGTTAAACCCCGCCAGAGCTCTCTCCAAACTAGGACAAATCGGGGAAAATCCTGACGAAAGCAACTGTATTCAGCTTCATGTTTGCATCATCTGAAAAATAAAATTAATTTCTGATACTCTACGTGTCTATTTCAACCAGCAATATGAATCAATTGATTTTAAATTTTGTATTTTTTACTTATCATTACTTATTAATTAATATAGATATTTAATTATCTTT